GGACCTCCCGTACCTTCCCTCGCGCCCGCACTCTGACAGCGCGGAGGTGCGCCGGCGGGAGCGGGGAACAAAGGAGCGCGGTGGGGAGCGGAGCCCTAACCGGCTGCCCAGCGTCCGGGCGGGAGGAAGCCCGAGTGTCACTCGCGTTCCAGCCAAGGAGCGGGCGCCCGCGATCTGAGCGCCTTGTGGAGCAATAACGGCTGGAGCGCGTCCTACAAGTTACCGGAGAGCCGGCGGCGCAGGAGGTCGGCCGCTTGTCCCCCGAGACCCCAGCCCTGCCCCGCGCTGGGAGGGCCGGCTCAGCATGAAGAGCAAGAAAGGTGAGGCGGTGCGCAGGGCCGCGCGAGGGGCCCGGGGCGAGTGACTTGGGGACACTTTTCCGCCCCAGGGGCTGGTTCTCCGGCTGGAACGGCGGCCGCCCTCTTTGTTGAGGCTGTGTCTGGAACGGCAGGGGCTGTTTTCCTCCTAGACACAACACGAGGTGCTGCTGGGGGAGACGAGCGCTCCACGCTGCTGGCACTTTGTCAAGAACACGCTCGGCGCCTTGTCTGTGCGCCTCCAACTTTCATTGTCTCCGCCGCCTCCCCACGCCGCCGCGTGGCTCCCAGCTTCCCCGGCGGGCGGGGGGCGTGGGGTCCGCTCGGGAGGACCCGAGCCTTTGTCTGAAAGGTGGGTTCCGGGGGCCCCACGCCCCACTGGACCCTAGCACTCTTGAGGGAGCTGGTGTTTTTCACAATCCGAGGAATGTGACCCCGGACCCCCCCCATCGCCCTGGGTGCGCGCAGCTTTGGAAAGTGAAGGCTTCTCCAAGCCTACGAAAGTTTTCCCACGATGAACTGGGGACAAGACGAGGAGTGTGGGACACGGGGCCAGCAACTTAAAGCGGCATGCAGTGAGAAAGTAGCCAAGTGTGACAGGCAGGCTCGGTTGTAAATCCGAAGAGCGAGACTGTCATTGTTTCCACGAAGCGTTCTGGAAGATTTACAACTAAAACTTGCCGTCAGTCTGGGTTAAAAACAAAATACACAGGGGAAAAAAACAACCTCGAAAGGTCAAAGACTACGAAATCCCTTTTGAAGTTAACTTTGGAGTTCTCACCTCGGAGGTCCCCCGAGTGTCCCCGCGTGGACGGGACCCGGTTCTCGGTTGTGATTTATGTGGAGTGGCTCAAAACAGAAGTTAATCGCCCGGGGACCTAGCGAGGGCGGCGGGGGCGCAGCTGCGCATGCCCAGGAGCGCCCCGGCTGGAACGCGCATTCTTCCAGACCTGGGCTGCCGCTGGGGTTCTTTTGGGGGTCCTGGTGGAAGACCCCGAAACACACGGGACTGTCCAGGTCCCCTCCCCGGTACCCCCGTAGGAGTGAAATGCAGCGTGAGCACCCAGGTCTCTTGGAGGGACGCCTCCCCCGCGGACCCTCCGAGGGACACCGTGGAAACCTGGGCGCTTCAAGCTGGGGACATTTAACTTGGCTACGGAAACGCGTGGGGTGTTACGCAAAGCCTTGTGGCCCTGGGAGCGCGGCGGGCTAGTTCCTCGCAGGGACGCTTTCTCTGTTCGGTGGGGGTCTGTGTTTGCGGAGTGGCTGCGGGGGCACAAAATGCAAAGCTGGGTGTTTGGCAGGGGCGGGGTGGGGGGACTCCATTGTCCCAGCTCTGGCGGCTCGGCTCTGATTAGCACCCCCACTGGACACCCCTTGCCCGCCCCATTCGGTCCCGCCCCCTCCCCCCTTGAGCATCGTCCGCCGTAGCCCGGTGTCCCCCCTCCCCCAGCCTAGGAGTCAGGCTGGGACTGCAGGCAGGCGCCAAGGAAAAGCCGGGATCCCCAGTTCTGGGCGCGCAGGGGTACCCCATCCTGCTCCGCGCCGACTCCTGGGAAACAATGGAAGGTGACGAGTTGCAGGGAAACTTTGTGACTGCTACACTGCTCGTGGGGTGGGGGCAGGTATCTTTCCCTTTTTTAGGGTTCCCTGACCCGTGGTCGGGATTCGGGGTTCGAGGCCGCAGGCCGGGTCCGCAGTGGCCAAGTTCGGATGGGGCTGAACCCCTCGGCAGAACAAAGCTGCGCGCTGCGCTCCTGACCCCCCCCTCCGCGCGCCCGTGCCGGGCCCGACTACCTGGGAGGGGGCTCCCCACTCTGCCTATTGTCGGTCTTATAAAAACCTGAACATCTTTTCAAGTTTCCCTAAAACAAAAGTACTTGCAACTTGGGAATGATGTGTCATGCATAGTACTGCGACCTTTTAGAAAGCCCTGGATTGCCAAAAAGTTCTAAAATGGCTTTAAAAGAAGCAGGAAGAAGTTCGGTCCGGAAAACCCCTGGAGGCTTTTTGCTCCCAGTGTGTGATTGTGTTGAATTCTTGCTTTGAGATTTGCTCCTCGCTTTGGGATTGCTCTTTGGCAGGGTCAGCCCGGTGTACCATGGATTGAGCTTTTAAAGTTCCATTCCTCTTGCGCTTCCAGAGGGGAGAGGGTCTCCTCAGGAAACTCGTTAGGTTAGGCTTGGTTTTTCTTAATTAAACTTGCCCTGATCTCCTAGATTCTGCTTTAGTCGCCTTTATATTTTTGAAATCCAACTTTACCGCCAACTTCTCGCCCCTCAGCCCACCCCAGTCTTGATTTCTGAAAGTAGTTCAGAAAAAAGAAAGTGCAGACTCAAGACTGCTTCCCAGAGCCGTGGGATCCGCAGGCCATCTTGTGGCTTTTCCAGACTGCGTTTCCTTGTATGTGGAAGGAGTAAGAGGCTTGTGATTCTGTCCCCCGCCCAACCACATTTTTTAAAAGTGTAAGCAGCAGAGCAAGAGGTTTGGAAACAAGTCGTAACCGGGAAACTTTTCAAAAGGCTCTGTTACAGTAGGAAATGAGTAACGAGGAAAAAGCCTTTTTGTTTTTCCAAGTTGAGCCACCATGAACAGGGAGAGTTTTAATGAAAACAGCCCTGACAGCAGCAAGCGTGGTTTAGCCCAGGGACGCCAGTCTTCACTTCCGGTTCCTGCAGCTTTTGTGCACATATTGGAAATATTTGTTAGCAGACCCAGAGGCTTGGCATTCTTTTTTTTTTTTTTTTTTTTTTTCTCCGGTACCGGGAACCGAACTCACGACCTTGCGCTTGCCAGGCAGGCGCTTTCTTTCTTTCTTTCTCTTTTCCTTCTTTTCTTCTTTCTGTTTTTTTTTTTTTTTTTTTTTTTTTTTTTTTTTTTTCCTTCCCCCTCTCAAATGCACTGAGCAGAGTAAAGTCGCTCGCAGTTCGGTTGGTGTTGCTTAACTGAAACCTGCTTTTGTTTGTCACTAACCTATTCTCCAAGATCAGGCTTCTTGTCAAACTAAGCTAGTAGATCAAAGGGCAGGCTTCGGGGGTTTTCTGTTGATCTCAGACTCTTTACTACCAACTTACAGTCGGGACTTCAGTGCTCAGTGAGCAAGTTTTCACATTTTCCAGATCTTAAAAAAAGGTGGGGAGAGGAAAAGAACAGCCTTGGAGAAGTCTGTCTGGCTTTTCAGACGCTGGAGTGTTTAAACAAACTGCTTTATTCAAATTTGCTTTAGTTGTGCGGGTAACTCGGCACGTGTTTAGAAGTGAGATTTCATAGTTATCAAACCAAAGGACTCGTTTATACTTTCTTAAGGTTTTATTTTTATGAATAGTTTTTTACCCGAATTTTAACATGGGTTTTGAAAGTTTCTCAGTTCTCCCAGCAGTGAAAGCGGTTTCGGTTTTAAACGTGCCCTTTCTTTAAACTTTTTTTTTTTCCTTTATAGAAACTGCTTAATTAAATCTTCGGGGGAAGGGAAACTTCAAATAACATGGCAGTTAAAACGTTGGGGTTCTTCTGTGGTTTATTTATGGCTGTCTGTTAAAAGCCTTGAGCTACGGTGAATTTGCGGAATCATCCACCTCCTTTGTTAGAACTTGCTGGCTTTGTGCAGAGTTTTTCCTTTCCTGTAGGAACGCCCTCCCACACCTTCGGCCCCCTGCAGTCCAAAGCTAAAACTGTCACCAAGCCAAGGCAGTCCATTACTGGAATTCAGAACTCTTCAGAAATTCTGGATGGTTTTACCCCTAGGAGGAGGTTGGGTTTTTTTTTTTTTTTTTAATTATATCAGGGTAAGCCAACTCAATTAAAACTGGTCGGTTTTCTTTCACCAAAGTTACATACTACAAAAAGAAAAAGTTTACAAAGCTAAAAATGGAAACCTTGTAAAATGAATTTCCCTAATATAGAAGTACTAGTATTTTAAAACGTGCTTATAGTTGTTAACTTATATTTAAAAGATTTTAAATTGAATGGCTGAAAAAATATTTTGAAGACAGTTGTTTTGAAAAGCAGCGTCAATGGCATTGTTATTTAAAATTTTTAAGGTCAAAATGATGCTTAAATGTGAAGATCAGGCAGGCCTTGAATTTTTATTGAAATCGGTGTGTCAGCTTTAAATGTTCTCATGCTTGTGAATTCTTAAAATTTGTGGTAGGATTAAAGTACTTACAACCAAAAGAACTTCCCTTGGGAGATGCATATGCAGTGTTCTTTGTCATGTAAGGATTTAAGTCTGAACCCTTTATTGATATGCATAGTAGCCTAGGCTGGTATTAAATTGGCAGCTGGTATTTATAGAAGGTTTTAAATTTATTTGCTATTTGGTATCTTCTTTCCAAAGTATTAATAGTAGGAAAATATTTTTGTGTAATGAAATTGAAAACTGCAGTAGTCATTTAATTAACAAGTGACTAGTCCTGTCTATTCAAAGTAGGGGCCTGATTTTGAATAAATGTAGATCGCAACGAATAAGAAATGATCTTGGCATTGATAAAACGTTTTAACAATATTTTACCTTTAGAGTACTAACAGGTTAAGCATGTGATTTTCCCTCCTTTATTAGTGAAAAAAATGTGCAAATCCTCTTTTCTTTTAAACCTTCAGTGACAAGAGGAAGATTAGCATTTAAAACTGTGTACCCATTGGATTGCTACCTCTGGTTAACAGTGACTCTGAGAAGTTACTAGACACATTCTGATTACCTAATAGCTGTAAATGCAGCAAGTTATTCAGTCTGGGTGCAATTTGTAAACTTTTTGAGCATTGCCCAAAGGAATGTGGGAAGTTAAATCCTGACGCGCAGCGTGTAAGAAAGTGGTTGGGAACCTACCATGTGCGCCAGCCACATTGTTCTGGGAGGCTTTACTTGTTCCCTGGTGATTCAGGACAGAAAGCACCAGTGCTTTATTTCCCTATCAGTAGTTGGGGAAATGCAATCACACGGACCCGCCGGATTAAAGGAGGCCTACGACAGTTGCCTTGCTGGTAGGCGCGAGTGACAGCCGGCCTTTGCCCTTTCCTAGGTGTTGTTGCGGTGTCCGGGAGTGAGACAGAAGATGAGGACAGCATGGACATCCCCCTGGACCTTTCCTCTTCTGCCAGCTCCAGCAAGAGGAGGAGAAGGGGCAACCTGCCCAAGGAGTCCGTGCAGATCCTGCGGGACTGGCTGTTTGAGCACCGGTACAACGCCTACCCTTCGGAGCAAGAGAAAGCGCTGCTGTCGCAGCAGACGCACCTGTCCACACTACAGGTATCTTCTGAGCGGGGGGACCCAGGGCCCTGCCCCAGCTGGGCTGGTGCTCTGCTGTGAGCGGCACCCCCGGCCGGCTACGCACACATTTTTATTTTTAAAGTCATTTTATAGCATTCCTGCGTGTTAGGTCATGAAGTGCCTCCCCATTCAGAAAAGAAGGAATACTTTCATATTGTAAACTCTACTGAGCTAAAAGCTAGTAAGTGGCTGTTTAGAGAGCCCAGAAGCCCTTGACAGTCATCTGCCAAATAGCATTTCCTTTACTGCCCCCAAAGAGAGCTTTCCTCTCCGCCACAGACAGAAAAAGGAGGCGAAACCTTCCTCCATTGCCCAGGAAACTGGTTTGAAATTTAAACAAGCACAGACTTCGGTGAGGTAATTCGTGTTGGGTCTGTTGACACAGTCATTTGAACTGGGAGAAATCAGTTACCGGGAGGTGTGGCGCTCTTCGGAGAGGAAGGGCTTTCCAGTCGCTGATTAACTTCATTGTTGATTAACTTCAGCGCCGGGCAGTAGGTAACAGGGTAAAAAGGGGAGAGTTAGAGGCAGGCTTTCTGAGTCATCTGCAGGTGTTTGAGAATGTGTACCTCCCTCCCCCTCCTGCCAAAGTTGGAGGCCAGAGAGACCCTAGAGCAAATTTGAGTTAGAAGAAGGTTTCCGCCTCCCCTCTTCCAAAGGGGAGCCCCCCTCCCCAAGCGCTCGCTCCCAGGTGAGGAGGTGTTAAGCTTCCCGCTGTGATTTCAGGTCTGCAACTGGTTCATCAACGCTCGCCGCAGGCTCCTCCCCGACATGCTGAGAAAGGACGGCAAAGATCCCAATCAGTTCACGATTTCCCGCCGTGGGGCCAAGATTTCTGAGGCCAGCTCTCTGGAGGCTGCGATGGGCATCAAAAACTTCGTGCCAGCCCTGGAGGACAGCCCGGTGCATTCCTGCACAGCTGGACCAAACCCGCCCCTCGGCCGGCCGCTGTCCCCGGGGCCTGTGCTGCCTCGCCCCTCCGTGATCTGCCACACCACGGTGACTGCCTTGAAAGACGTGTCTTTCTCCCTGTGCCAGCCGGTTGGCACAGACACGGAGCAGACAGCGGCCAGCAGCTTCACAGAGACCTCCCTGGGGTACCCGGAGGACACGTGTAAATCGGGGTCCAGTACAAACGCGCAGAGCGGGCTCTTCAATACCCCTCCGCCCACTCCCCCGGACCTCAACCAGGATTTTAGCGGATTTCAGCTTCTCGTGGACGTGGCGCTCAAACGGGCTGCGGAGATGGAGCTTCAGGCAAAACTCACCGCATAACCCCTCCACCGAGCGCGTTGTGAGTGCCGGGGTGATGGCGAGAGATGGACTGCATTATTTTATATATTTTTTTATCAATATTTGCACAAGGCATTGCTAAAACGAAGCTTCCTGTTACTGAGATGTCGATGGAATACAGTCATTCCAAGAACTATAAACTCAAAGCTACTGTAGAAACAAAGGGTTTTCTTTTTTAAGTGTTTCTTGGTAGATTATTCATAATGTGAGATGGTTCCCAATATCATGTGATTTTTCCAACCCTCCCCCCGCCCTTTTCCCCTTTTTTGTTGTTTTTTTTTTTCTCCAGACTGTGCAATACTTAGAGAACCTTAGCATCTCCCATTCCCGTGTGGAGCAGGATGTCCACGTACTGTCTAATTAATAAATTTTCAGTTTTTTTCAAACAAGTATGAATCTAGTTGATCGATACCTTTTTTTCCACGGTGTAATAAAGTATTTTCTTTAAAAGTTATTGTAATGCAGAGTATTTTGTCGGAGGAGGCCCTTAAGCATGAGTAGGGCACCACACTAGCACCGGGGTGAGCAGGAAGTTGGGGTGGGGGGGTGTGAGTCGGGGGTGTTACGCTGGCTTTGAAGGGCAGGTGGACAACAAGCTCTGTGTATAAACAGGATGTGTGATATTTACTCTTGGTAGGAGGCAGCCGGCCTTTAAGTCTTGACTTAGAGCCGTTGAAATGAACCCCTGCGTCGGTGCTTGGCCTTTGGTCACTTGTCCTGCGTGTTTTAAAACGTTGGAAAAGTCTTGAAGCAGGTAATGGTGGCTTCAGTTTTTAGAAGTAGTCAACACAACGGACCTGTTACTGTGTCTTTTCCAAGTTCACCTTGACTCTGTACTGGTCAGGTAAGGCCTTTGGGTTCCAATGCAGCGTTCGCAGAGCAATCCTCTTTGAAAACACTTTCAAGAGTGTCCAGCAAGGCCGAGGCTCGGGCCAGGGCGGTATTGTTAGCTCATTAGGTGCACATTTTGCAGGGTTAGAAGTGCATGAAAAACAGTGGCGCCACACCAGTGGGGTTTGTTGGGATAGAGATGATTACTTCCAAAGGCCAGATGGCCAGAGGGAGGGAGTGACCGCCTTTGACTTGACTTGTCACATGCCATAGAGCCACTCCACGTCCTGCTTAGGATGAGGCTGCTTTGTTGTTGGAATTGAGCTTTTCCAGCCCTGCCCAGCTAGGAACTCTCAAGTTAGGACTGTCCAGAGCAGGTAGACGTCCTTCCACATTTACTCAGTTTTGAAACCCTGTTATACAAAGTCTCTCCTTGCTGGAGAGAGACTTCGTAAGTAGAAAGAGGAAAAAGTCACCACCAAGAGGGTTAAGAAAATGAAGAGAGAAAAAGGTGGGGTGCCCAGGCTGTGGGATGCTGCTTGCAGAGCCCTAGAGGGTCCTACACGTAGGTAAGTCAGAAAAAAATGAGTTCATAGGAGAAACAAACATTAGGGATCACGGCTTGGCCAGATGTGTTGCACACCTGTGTCCTGGCACTCTAGGAGGCTGAAGCAGGACAATCACAAGTTCAGCCTGGGCAATTTAACAACTTAGACTCAAGGCTGGGGATGTAGCTCAATGCAGAGACCCTAGGTTCAATCCCCTAGTCTCCAAAAAAAAAAAAAAAAATCAGCGTGCTCCAAGAGCTAGATTAAAGGCTGCAAATTTTACTATAGTACACATCCCAGAGACAGCAAGACCAGGACACCTTTCCATGTTAGAGTATTTAATCAGTCACCCTAGGAAAAGAGAAAATGGTCCGTGAGTGTAATAAGGCTGGGGATTTAGCTTAGTAGGGTGCTTGCCTGGCATGCTTGAGGCCTTGTGTGTTCAGTCTCTGTAAAAAAACAAAAAACTCAAGGACCAATGAGACCCAAAGGTCTAAAAGTCTCTTAAGTTTCCTATATTTTATGTATTTTTTTTTTTTTCCTGAGGTGATAGAACCCTGATTATTATTTTTTTTATTTTGGTTTTTTTCCAGTACCGGGAACTGAACTCACGACCTTGTGCTTGCCAGGCAGGCGCTATGCTGCTGAGCTAAATCCCCAGCCCCTAGAACCCTGATTAATAATAGCTGATGTAAATAGAAGCCATTGTTTTAAATTGCAAAATTTTTTTTTTCACTTTTATGAGTACCTGATGTTTGCAGTATGTAATGATTACACTCACTGTAAGGGATTAGTCCATGTACAGAACACATTTCAATTCCCTTTTTCCCCCCTCCCCCCACCCCCATATCAGATTCATTTATAAGACCTTATAAAATTAACTATATACAGATTGAAAAACCAGGCAAACAGGCCAAAGAACATAACAAACGTGAGAAAATTGTACTAAGTTAAGGTATACTTTTAGATGCACTGTTTACACTGGATTGTAATACCTTTTCTCTTTTTTCCTATTATCTGTCTTTTATTTCATGTATATATATATAGTTTTTCATAGAAGAAAAACCATGTGATATTTAAGCTTATGTATCTGAGTTATTTCACTTTGTGGTCTTGAGGTGCATCTACCTTCCTACAAATGACTCAAGTTTATACCTTCTTTTTTTTTTTTCCCCAGTACCAGAAATTGAACTCACGACCTTGCACTTGCCAGGCAGGCGCTGTGCCGCTGAGCTAAATCCCCAGCCCCAGTTTATACCTTCTTGATGGTAGAGTAATACTACCATAAAGCACCACTTTTTTATCCATTCATCTGTTGATGGGCATGTAGGCTGTTTCAAAGATTTAACTATCAAGAATTATGCTGCTGTAAACATGGGTATGTGTACATCTCTACAGTATGATGTCTTTAGCTCTTGGGAAGTTACCTAGAAGGGGAATAGCTGGGTCAAGCGGAATTTTTAGTTTGTTGAGGAATCTGCATACGGATTTTCACAGTGGTTGTATCAATTTATATAGTTCTACCAACAATGGAGAAAGAGTCCTCCCGAAAGCCTCTCCAGCATTTGTTATTGGTTGATTTATTGCCATTCTTTCTGGGCAGAGATGGAATCTCAGTGTTGTTTTAATTTGTATTTCTCAAATGGTCAGTGATGTTGAACATTTCCCCCACTGCTTTGGCCATTTGTATTTTTTCATCTGAGAAGTGTCTGTTGATTTCAGATGCACATTTTTAAATTGGGTCCTTAAATTTCAGGGGTCTAATTTTTTTGAGTTCTTTGTATATTCTAGATACTAGCCCCTTGTACCAAAATTTCTTTCCCATTCTGTAGGTTGTCTCTTCACTCTGTTAGTGGTTTCCTTTGCTGTGCAGTAAAGATAAGCCATTGTTTTGAAAAAGGTAAATATCATTGAGTAGGTAAACAAAAATCCATATCAAAGTGGAATAAACATTTTATGCTTATTATTTACATAGCATCTTTTTTTCACTTATTTTGGGGAGTTCTAAAGATTGAACCCAGGACTGTCTGCATGCTAGGCAAGCACTCTACCACTAAGCTACACCTAGCCCTTTTAAGTTTTATTTTTTATTTTTTTGTCTTTTTTGAGACAGGGTCTCACTATGCAGTTCAGGCTGGCCTTGAGCTCGCTTTGTAGCCCAGGCTGGTCTTGAACTCACAACGATCCTCCTGCCTCAGCCTCCTGAGTGTTGGGATTACAGGTGTGCACCACCATGCCCAACTTTAAATTTTATTTTGAGACAGAATCTTTCTGTTCTACTCAGGCTGGCTTTGAATTTGTTTTTTTGTTGTTGTTTTGTTTTGTTTTTCTTCCGGTACCAGGAATCGAACTCATGACCTTGTGCTTGCCAGGCAGTCGCTTTGCCAGTGAGCTAAATCCCCAGCCCCTGGCTTTGAATTTGTGATCCTCCTGTCTCAGCTTCCAGAGTAGCTGGGATCACAGGAATGTACCACCATACCTGGCTGTTTAATTTTAACCCATTTGTGCTTTTGTGCTTGAAACAATCTCATAAAGCATATCACTGGGTCTTGTGTTTTATCTAGTTCAATGACCTGTGCTGTTCACCCACGGACTAAGTTTAGTCCTTTTACATTTAATGTAATTATTGAGATGTTTGGATTCAGTTTAGAACGTTTTTTGTTGTTTCTCTTTTCCTACTTTCTGCTGAGGTACTTGGATTTTTTTTTATTACTTAGTTTTCTATTGGCCTATAAACTACACCCTATTATTTTTAATGGTTCTTGTAGGGATTACAGTATACATCTTTACCTTGCTGCAGTTTGGGTGTTAATATTATAGAACTTCATATGAAATACAGAGCCTGCAAACAGTGTAGTATCACTCACTTTCTACCTCTTCCTTTGTTTTTCATATATAATAGCTCTGTCTATAGAATAAACCCAACAAGAGACTCCTTTTATTTTTGCTTAAAACAGGCATATATTTTGTAAACAGGAGAAAAAAATATAGTTTTGTGGGGTTTTTATATTTTTCCCTCAATTTTTATTTTTTATTAGTCCATGTTTGCAGTACATAATGAGTTGGTCCATGTATATAGCACATCTTAATTCTCCTTTTCATCCTCTTTCCTATTTCTCCTTCTATCTCTCAGTCCCTTCCCTTTGGCAAAGGTCTTTATCCCTACTTCCTATTATCTATCTTTTATTTTGTTCTTTATTTTTTATTTTGGGTTTCTCATAAAAGAACCCATGTGATATTTAAGCTCATGTGTCTGATTTATTTCACTTAACATGCTCTCAAGGTGCACCCATTTTCCTACAAATGACTCAAGTTTACCCTTTTTGTGGCAGAGTAGTACTCCATTGTGTATGCACACCACATTTTCTCTATCCATTCTCTATCCATTCTCTATCCATTCATCTTACAGGCTGCTTCCAAGATACAGTCATTGAGTTGTGCTGCTATAAAAATGGGTATGCATGTATCACTGTAATATCATGTCTTTAACTCTTTGGGGAAGATATCGAGAAGGGGACTAGTTGGGTCAAATGGAATTTCTACTTTGAGTTTTTTAAGGAGTCTCTGTACAGAGTTCCATAATAGTTTTACCAGTTTATACTCTTACCAATAATGTAGAAGGAGGGGCTGGGGATTTAGCTCAGCAGCACAGCGCCTGCCTGGCAAGCACAAAGTCATGAGTTCAATTCCTGGTACAGGAAGAAAAACAAAAAAAACCCCAAAACGTAAAAATAACGTAGAAGGACCCTTTTCCCCTCAAAACCTTGCCAGCCTTTGTTCTTATTTGACTTCTTGGTGATAGCCACAATTTTTGAGTAAGATGGAATCTCAGTATTGTATTAATGTGCATTTTATGGCCAGCAATGTTGTAGAACATTTTTTTAGATGTTTACTGGCCATTGATACTTCTGAGAAGTGTCTGTTCATTTTGGTTGTTTTTTGAGACAGGGTCTCACTGTGTAGCCCAGGCTGGCTTCAAACTTGCAGCGATCCTCCTGCCTCAGCCTCCTGAG